TTCTCTTGACACTACGTGTTGCTTTCAACACAATTCGGCCATCAAATCTATTAATTATAGTTTCAATATAATTTTTCAGTCCGTCTACAATGTTATTTTATTTTGTACACCTCATTTTTCAGAATTCCTCAAAAATAAAAATCTAGAGGTGTCATGTCTGATGAACGAGGAGGCCACTTAACAGGACCATTTGTAGTAATCCATGTGTTTCCAAAACAGTCACGCAACATTTTTTACGCCACTACTGCTCATCGTTTTGAGATTCAACTCAGTACACCTCGCATCTCACTATTTAATAACTCTTTCATTTGGATAACTGCGCTCGAGGGAAATAAACTTCCTGAGAACGTTTTTCGAATGGATTCAATCTCCAGCGATTCAAATCCAGTGTGAATTGCTACTTTAGCAAAGGCACCGTTCTTAAGGATTTTCCTGTAGTGCTTGTGTCCTTAAAAAAATTAAATTATGTGCTGGTACTCCATCCTGCTGAAAATAGATCATCTAACTAGCCTCCAGATCAAGACCATCGAAAAACTCTTCCAACACTCTTGTTAATAAATTAATGTAACAGGTCCATTCAAAGAACCATGGTAGGAAAATGGACCGATAATTCTGCCTCTAAATAGATCACACGAAACATTAATACCAAATCGTTTTTGCGGATTATGAGGATGGACTAGAAATGGATTATGTCTACTCCAATAATGAAAATTCTTTCTATTATACATCTCACGATTTGAAAAATTAGCCTCATCGCTCCATATAATATTTCTATAAAAGTTTGGATATTGTCTGCATTTATTCGTAAACCACCGACAAAACCCTAATCGTCTCTCATGGTCACCAAGTTCTAGTGTTTGCACTGGTCTTATAAGGAGAAATCTTATGTTTCTTCAGAATTCGTTGAATAACAGACAGTGGAACAGCTATTTCTCTAGATAAATCTCTTATGGAATTATTTGTATATTTACCTCAAAGTAGGCTAAAACGTCAATTTCTGTATCTTCAGATAGATATTACAAAACGTTTTTTAGTTCTCCTTTTTTCAAAATGTTTTTCATTGTTCCTGAATCGACGATGAAGCATAGCAAAAATGCGCCGCTTAGGTAATTCACGATAGAAGGAATTGGTGTAGTGGAGTGCTCTTACGCTATATTTTTCAGGCAAACCAAGTAGGATTCTAATATATTACATTCTTGTTAATGGGAAAACGGCATTGACATTGACATTGTCATAATATACTTGAGAATATTTGACAAATAGAATTTCAACAAAGTTTCAAGGCAACTTGATTACTCATAATAATTCCATTTTATCGAATCAAACACATTCATTTCCAACCGCAATAATATACGCTCCAGTATTTTCTGTTCTGTACAAAAACGTTTCCAATGTTATCACGAGTTCAAATCACAGTGCAGTTTTTTCTTTTTTTGTTAGTAACAAAATATTGTCATTCGTATTATAGTACCAAAATTGGGTGTTTGGACAATCACGAGGTTTTATTTACCAAAACAAAGAAATTTTTGGTACTAGTGAAATGCATGATAAAATATAGGGTGTTCAATTTTAAAAAAATATCATTTTATGAAATATTTTGAAAACGCGACTATCATTTTTTTTGTTTTCGACATCGAGAAGGTCATTATAAATGCTACTAGTTTGCCCATTATTTTCCCTGCTACATAATGCTGTATTCAGATTTGCTATCCGACGTTTCGTCTTCCGGCCACCATCATCAACTTTATTTTTTATATGGGCGCTACATTGGATTCTTTCTGTTTGAATAGAACCAGATTTAACCTTTTTAATGATGTATCAAAAGTTATCATTCTTTTTCGAAAAATTGGAGATATTGAAAAAATTAATTCTTATCATAATAGGCTTTGACATTAATGCTTCTAAATTTGACTTTCAATTTGTTACACTCAATGCCATTTTGTTATTGTACAAGTCATTGAATTTTTGGCAAAAAATGGCTTTCACGTTCGTTTGAAAAGCCAATGAAAAAATACGTAGTCAAAATCAATAATCAAAATTTGATAAATAAGATGTACCTATATGAGGTAAATTAGACATTGTGTCATTTTCAATGAAAATAGAACTTTGAACAAATAACAATAGTCAACTAAAATGTAAAGCCAAAAATAAATCACAGCAAATGCTCAAAATGCTGGACTTGTTCATGATAAGACAACTGTGCCCTTCTTCGAATATTATTCACTGCAGGAATAATTTCCCTCCTCAATCTTCCGAACTCTCTAACAATGCTGTGTTGCAGGTCCTCAATATTTTGATATTCCCTCTGACCATAAACTCTATTTTTCAGTGTACCTCATAAGAATGTATCCATAACACTTGAGTCTAGAGACCTTGCTGGCCACCTCACCGGCACATTATTCCTTATCCATTTATCACCAAACCTTTCAGTCAGGTAATTAGATACTCGTCTGGTGGTGTGCGGTGAAGCACCATCATGTTGAAACCAAATGTTGTTATAGTTAGCCAAAGGTAGATCATCTGTCTGTCTGTCTATTTTAAAATCTGTTTTTCCGTTAGTCAGCTGCCGCCCCCATACGAACGACAACCCTCAGAAGTTGAGAAACTTGTGCGAGCTAAGGACTAACGAGGTCTTACCTTTTAACGTGTGATTCCTAACACGGTTGCAGAATCATCGCAGCTTCAACCATATCAATTCTCTAGAGAAAAATATCTGGTCGAAGCGGGAATCGAACACACGACCTTCCGATCGTGAGTCGGACGCACTACCACCTCGGCCATTTCTACAATCATCCAAATAATCTTCGAAAATCGACATTAAAAACTGGTGATAGGTTTCTCCCTTCAGAATGAAGTCAAATAAATGAGGACCCAAAATTCAATCTTAGTAAATTCCTGCCCACACGTTAATACTAAATCGCACTTGAGGTCGAATTTCTTGGAACTGCCTAGGGTTGTTTATGCTCCAGATGTGTTCGTTATTTCGGTTGAATATCCCACAATTCGTAAAAGTGCTTTCATCTGTCCAAATTACATTTTCCAGGAGAACAGGAAAATCTGGTCTTATTAGCCAATTACAAAATTCTAATCGTCTTTCGGGATCACCTAGATGCAATTTTTGAGATATGCGTATTTTGCAACATTTTAAACCGTTTTTTTTTTAGTTGTCTCCAAGCACTTGTATGACAAATATTCATTTCGTATGAATTTTGACGTGAAGATTTCCCTGGTTCATGTTTATTTACAAATAATTAATTTTTATTGAAAAGGGCACAATGTCTAACTTACCTCATACATACATACCTCATTTATCAAATTTGCTTCAGTTTTCTGGTCAATATTGTCTCCGTATTTCTTCCTCGGCTTTTCAAATGAACCAAACTCGGTGAGATTTTGATCAAATAACTTGAACACAGTACGATGTTGTTCTCGTCTTTCGTGATACAAGTTTAAATACATTTCCGATGTCCTAACACTGTTTTTATCGTATTTGTAATAAATTTGTATCATTTTTTTTCTTCATTCGTGAAAGCCATTTTTCGCCAAAAATTCAATAACTTGTAGAATAACAAAATGTCGTTGAGTGTAACAAATTGAAAGTCAAATTTCGAAACATCAAAGTCAAAGCCTATTATGATAAGAATTAATTTTTTTTCAATATATTCAATTTTTCGAAAAAGAATAATGACTTATGATAATTGAAAAGGTGAAATCCGGTTCTATTGAAAACAGAAAGAATACAATATAGCGCCCATAAGAAAGAATGAAGTTGATGGTGGTGGCCGGAAGACGAAACGTCGGATAGCAAATCTGAAAACACCAATATGTAGCAGCAAAAATATGGCAATGTGGAAGTGCAATTTATTTTCGAATACTTCGAAAAATAAAACTAGAAAAAAGTGAAAACCATTTTCCGAAATTTCTGTTTTTTCCGGATATCTCTGGATATACTTGGAATTTCAGAAGTTTCTCAATGGCATATTGTTAGTCAGGTAAATGCGCAACCTTGCCCTAATTTAACCATCTTCGTATCTCTCATAGTTTCTGAGATCTCAATGGTGAGGATCGAATTTGAAACACCCCGTATGTCTATATTTTTTTCTGTCATAGAATCGTATCAGCTTGTAGTTAATAATATTCGCTCAAACAAAAGTATGTTCACAGGTATCAATTTTAATTTCAATACAGAAAAGTACCTATCTACCTAATTATAATGCGCATGAAATGGTTAAAGAAACTAGCTTAATTAATTTGCTAACAATTTATATTGTATCCGACTAAAAATCTCTTCAATCGCCACATTATATGTGATCATTATTTAAAGCATTAAAATGGGAACAGTAAGTTATTCTTAAAAGGTGGACTTATGCCATCGCAACTTTGTTGCAGTCCTATAAAAAAGAACAAATGTAGTGAATTGTTTTGTTATATCTCAAGGGGATTAGGCGGCGATTCAGAAGAACAATATGTATTTCTATGACTGCCCGGCTCCGCACGAGTAATACCGCCGCCCCAATTTCGCAAGGATAATATCGTCATATATTTCAATTGATTCTTATAAAACAATGAATTGTACACATAAACCTACCATTCGGTCAAAGGCACTATACGGCTAATTGGCAAAGTGTATCCAGCACACCTAACCGCCTTGTTGCTCGTTGAGCCCAGTATTTTTGAATGCGTTACATCGATGATAAGTTCATGTTGTGGCGGCATCATGAAGAGAAATTAACAAATTTCTCTAACATTCAAACTCAGCGAGGCTCAGTAATGGAAAAAACTTTCCTTTTATTCCTTGATTAAACGGTTTCATTTAGCTTGCCCTGTTTGTTTATTCATTTGTTTGTGTCAAATTTAGTAATTGAAGCTTGACCCCCTTCCTGTTGACAACTTGATCTGAAACTTGGAACACACATTTAGTTTTGATGACAATACAATTTGATAAATTTTAAACCAATGTATATCCAAGATGGCTGCAGCTACAAAATGGCGGATCACATATTTTTTCACAATTACTCTAATATGGGTATCATATGACAGGGCTTGATTAGTTGAATAGTAGTACACTTTGAAAAAGATGCAAATTCAAGATGGCCGCAGATACAAAATGGCGGCTACATACTTCAAATTGCACACAAATCAAAATATTTAAGTATTTGCTGTGAGGACAACCAGAACACTTCGTCCGTTATCTTATCGCCTTTGATAATGTATACCGCAGTCGTAGACGAAACACATTGGTTGATTTGGTTTTTGTTTTTTGCAATTATACCTTGCGGTACGTTTTCGGCGTCCTATCATGTATTTGTAATGAAATATAATTTCAGAACCATTCAAATTTGAGTATCTGTTCATACTTAGTTATAGGAACATTCAATGAGCTATCAGAATATGTTCATAGAACTTTCAGACAGGGGGCGGTCTAATCTATTGAATGCAGACCTGTATTTTGTAACAATATCTTGATCGACAATCTACATCAGATAGAGTATTGCCTTTTTATTACGATTTTGATAATTATTCAATGAGAGCAATAGAGGTACCCACATATTTGCATGTACAACTAATTCTCAAAAAAAATGGACACTCCATTATTCAAATGAAACACTAGGTACCTAAAATGTATTGATAATCCAACCCTCAATTTCAAGTGAGGTTTTCTCATGTCGAGAAACATCCAGAAGTTTAAGAAAAACTGAAACTTTTCAGTATTGGACACCATAGGCGGGAATCGTTCAGTAAAAAAATATACCTTAAGATCATTCAAAAATGTGTTAAAATAGGGGTTTGGAGAAAAATTAGCTGGTATTGTCTCCTTCCCTACAATAAAATGAATTTAACTTTCCTATATAACATCCTATATAAAAATTCTTTGAACAATCCCGTCAAAAGTTCATATGTCAAAGAATAAATAACTTCTAATATCTCTGTGAATAAAGAACTACCATAGTAAAGTAACGAAATTTTTCGAAATTTTCGTTTGTGTTCGCATATACCCGAAACCAAACAGCTGAAGACAATTTTTTGGTATCATTCAATATGTTACTCTCTCCATTCGGGTTTGAAGGCCGTCGTAGTTTGGAACTGCATCCTAACGTTTCGCCAGCACGAGTGGCTGGCTTCTTCAGAGGTTTATTCATATTGATGATTCACCGATGACTGGTGATTTCTAGTTCATAGGTTGTATTCATGTTGACTCAGGCAGTCTGCCTCTCCTGGTGATGCGTTGCTACTGGCCGAAGTGTTATTACCTGTTAATGACGTAATATTGCATTGCGCTGTTGCCACTTTAGCATCTTTTGGTATGGGAATCCAAATCCGGTTAAGCGTTACCGCCTCCTCTTTTCTGTTGTAGTTTTCTGTATGTCTATGAATTTCTGTGGCTTCCCGTACAAGTCGACTGTGGTATCCATGATCGGGGACACATCACCGACATAACCTGGTTATGTCTATGGGGCACATCTTCAAACACTATCGTGTGATCTCCTTCACTAAGTGCGTGTTCCGCTACTGCCGATTTGTCTATTTGACCTAATCTGAAGTTTCTCCGATGTTCATTCAGCCTTGTACCCATGGATCTTTTGGTGGTACCGATATAAACTTTTCCGCTGATAGGGGATCTCTTTTGTCTTTCGCAGATCTCAGGGTTTGTTATATTTTCCTGTTAGGCTTGAACACTGTTTTTATTTTATGCTTCCCTAAGATTTATACGATTCTGTCTGTAAACCTAGGGCTGTATGTAGAAATGCACGTGCAACCGTTTGAGATTTCTCCCTATTTTGACTTCTGAAAGTCTTTAGTTTCATGACCTTGTTGATTTCGGTTACACTGTATCCATTCGATCTTAAAGCCACTTGAAGATCCAATTCTTGTTGTAGGTGTTCCGGTTCATATATTCTACGGAACGTTCCGTCAGGGTGTTGATAATTCCCCGCTTTTTACTTGGATGGTGGTTCGAAAGTGCAGGCAGACATCTGTCTCTATGTGTCGGTTTTTGGTACACTTCATGTATTAGTTGTGTATACTTTATGATGCAGTTCCAAATTACGACGGCCTTGAAACCTGAATGGAGATAGTAACACTGAAAATTTCGGAGCGAAATCTTTAACCAATTTATCATTCAATATAACTNTTTTTAGTTGCCATATGGCAATTCCAACAATCCAATAAGGTTTGTTAACTTATTTTTTGTTTATGAAAACGACAAAAAATGTCAGTACGACAATGAACATCATTGTTCAGCTAGAATATTCTCATTTAGTTTTCGGTTTTACTAGTAGAATGGTACCACGTCAACAATCTCTAAAATGGTCAATTCTCGTCCATTGGAAAAAAAATTGAAGCGATTTTTATTTACGGTGCGTCGAGTAACTTTCACGAAACCTAAAGGATTTTCAATGAATGTTTTCCGAATCGTCCTATCTGTATAAAAGGGAACTTGTATCCAAATGTGAGTGCAAACAATTGGTGAGATGGTGATCCTGAACAGTATACTTATTCCATGGAGACTTTTGAAGAGGAATAGGTATCATTCATACAAAATTATAATGGTACACCAATTAACTGAAGATGACCCTGATCGAAGAACAGAATTCCGCGAAATCATGACGGAAACCATTGCAAGGCATCCTACCTATCTCCACAATATTTGTTTTAGTGACGAATGTACATGTCTTTGGATTGGCCGTCGAGGTCCTACAGAATGCCCAGCCCACTCGCCAGATTTGACACCTTTGGTGTCTATTTCGAGCAAAATGTGTAGGAATCTGAACCTGCTTCAATATTGGATATACGGCAGAGAATAATAAATATTTGTTGAGATATTGACGTTACTGTTTTCAAAAATGTTTGGCGTGAAATATCGAATAGGCTGTTCATATGTCAAGAAGTACCATTTCGAGCATCTTCTGAACTGACCTCAAGCTTATTACCTCATATTATGTAGTTAAATATCAATGTTTTCAGGAAATTATTGAATGATCCGCCATTTCCATTTAATTTTTTTTCCCAGATGGCGCCCAGTCGCCATCTTGAAAGTTTCATCTAAAATAAAATATTTATGCATTAATTTCATTACTCCAAATTTAAACTTTTTGAGTTGACTCGTTCATAAAATAAAAGGGGGGGACATTAAAGAAAAGTACTGTATATTTAATTTTCCAGTTGAAAATTTTTTGTTTCATTCATTCACTCAAAATTTCAAGAAAAATCAATATTTCATTTAGATGTTACATTCTATAATAATCTTCCAGACCAATTGAAATCCTGATCTCCATATTAAAATTTTTCGTTTTATTGTTTAATTTAATTGTAAATGAGTGCTATACACTTCAATAATCGATAAGTATTCAAATAATTTATTCAACATAAACATGTTTGTTTCTTGGGATTACTATAGATTGCTAGTATAAATAAAAATTAAACTATGTTAAATCCGTTTTTCCGGTTTGTTTGTTATGGTCAGCATAGAAGTTGCACCAGTTTTAAGGCAGACATCAGAAATAGAAATGATTTGGTATACCACATGTGTTTCAGTGGTTCTAAATGTTTTAAAAACTGTATTGTATTACATATTTTCAATTTATAAAGCATGGGGTATTTTTGTTATAGGCAGTTTTTAGTACACCGTCAAAGATGTACTATTTACATGCTGTTTGAATGAAGTTTGTTTTTTGAGAAAAAGTGACACTTATTTGAAAACACAAACATATCATAATTATGTAATCAGTACTGTTACATTCCTTATATTTTTTTCAGGTACCGTTGATGCTTTAGATAGTTTCGATGCGGAGGTAGCTAGAATAGATTTTCATTCGATAAATATGAGGTCTAAGAAAAAGCGAGACGATATTCCTAGGCCTATGAGTTGGGAAGGGGAACTCTCAGACGGCGAGAGAGATGGTATGTGTATCGACGAGGAAAACTCAACACAGGTTGGTAAATATTCAACTCATTTAGCAATTAATAGAATAGGGAATATCCTCAAATCCATCATTCTCGTGAAACGATGCTATTATTCTCTTCGTTAGTGACAGGGGAGTGCCGCATAAGTTGAGAACTTGAATAAATAATCGAAGGTACTAATACTTTCTAATTACATTTTCTTCATGCATTGGCTTTTACAGATTTTTAATCCAAAGTTTCGTCTGTCTTTCTATTAATCAGCTGTTTCCCCTACGAACAACAACCCTAAAAAGTTGAAACTTGTGTGAGTTGAGAATTAACAAGGTATTACTTTTAAACGTGCGATTCCTAGCACAGGTTGAACGATAGGCAGCGAAAATCGATCGTCCGGCCTCGCGGCTCGCACCACCATTTCTCCTGACGGTCGATTGGATGAGTGGAACAAACCACTAACGTCAACCCAACCGGCCTCCGTCCCGCCGAATAACCACTAATTTAACTTTTTTAATTTGATCACAAAAAAATTCACCCGTTATAAGTTAGCCTTTTTGGCGACAACTTCGCTGATGTATCTCTCACATAATCGGAATTTCCCAAATTTCAAAATGTCACTCAAAAAAGCTCTAAAACGAGCAACTTTTGCCTAATTCAACCGATTTCGTATCTCTTACGAGTTCCGATTTTCCCATGCTGGCCTTCGATATCTTGGACTCATTGTATATTTACACTACACAGACACAACCAAGACAAAAAACTTGATTAAAGAAATATTACTTTTTGATGTTTGTCTAGATTCTTCATATTTTCTCTATTTCATACCTACAGCTAAACAGGTTTTCAACTCATGTCATCAACGGTGCTACTTGATATTCTTTTACCAAAAAAAATTAATTGATTTTGGTGGTTACTTATTCAAATAAATCATTCAATGCAAAGCGCACAATAAAAGTAATTGTATTAAACAAATAAATGGTAACTGAACTGGTTTAATATTGTAGACGAGATATCTTTGTTGATGAGATATGGAGAAAAACTAATAATGAGCTCAACTCGATATTCGTCTCTTGCGTTCAACATGTAATTATATACATTATATAAAAACCTCTAATTTGACTGACGGTATGGCTTGACTTGAAGGTAGATTAGTTCTGCGTTGAAATATTTGATTAGTTTTGAAAGAAATGTTACTGTTTGTTTAGTTTTCATGGTTTTTCTTCCACCCCCACCCTTATTCTAATTATATTATGGCTATATCCCTGAGGCGCATTACAGGAATGTCCAAGATTAAAAGTTTAAGTCTCTAAAAGTTTTCTTTGAAATTTCAATTCGAAGAAATAAAGTACAAGATGGAATGGAAAGGAAAACAACCTACACTTCTTTTGTTCTCTCCAAAATGTAGTAGTACCAAACGTTCTCTCAAATACGATGATGGGTCCACGCTCATGGTAACAGGTATTTGCTGATGTTTTGGTTTTAACTTTTTCTCTTAATGATTGTGTTACCATGTACGCCTCCTGCTTTAAAATATTGGATGATATAGAACTTTGTTGTTAGGTATGTTGGAATGTCTCGGCAAACAATTTCTCTAGAATAGTGGAGCAAACACCAGAGACTCATTTTCAGATACAAAATTAGAAAAAAACACAAATTTCGTAATCAAAGCAAGCAGAAAGACAACAAAAAAACCTTCATAATTTGAATCTTCATGAGATTTTCCCACTATGATCATTCCATCCGAAACAACTAGGGGTCTTCTGTCAATAAAACCTTTTTTCAAAAGAGTTTGAATTGAACATTTTCCCTTTTCATTTCATCACAAGGTTGGTTTAGTCAGTCATTTATCAAATGACTCATTATGAGCACCTAAGGATAGCAGATTAGCAGTTCCGAGAAGTTTTGCCGTTTTGTAAAAAACCATCAATACTAACAAGGAATTTGTATCAAACTCAGCTAATTCAAACGGATGATGGGTATACTTTGCTATGTTGTGAAATCAACGAGGATCTTTACTAGAAATCGTAATCAAAACATTGATGTCTCTATGATATGTTGTGATGATGAATAAACAATAGTACTGGGAAAATATATCCGGTTACTCATATGGGAAATCCTTTTTAGAGAAACCGTCTGAGAAGAAAAATGAAGAACTGCCCCATTGACTCAAAACAATCACAGAGCTACTCACTCAGAGGACATCGTACCGTTTATAGAAAAATATATTTTTCTCAGAACTGTACTAGCTATTCAATTTAATTATTCATTGGTGTTTTTTGCATCGACTACTTTTGTAATGTGCTATGCTATTTTATTAACTCCCCGAGCTACCTGTGGAACATTATAATACAAGACAAGCAAAAAAACTATCAGTTAAATCATATCGCTCAAAATTTGGGGAGAAATCAATATTTCATTCAGGAGTTGAAATATATAATAATCTTCCAGAGAAACTAAAAATAAATCAGAAAACAAAATTCAGATCGAATTGAAAAAGTTTCTGCTTTCTTTCTGTAATTGAAATTCTGATCAATTTTTTTATTTTTCAGATACCAGAAAATCTTTCACTCTCCCAAACCAAACCTCCATCCTTGAGTGACAGTAAAGATAGTCCAATTCTTCGACTGAAACAGCCACCGATGGGCACTTATTCTTTACACAGCACACCAAGCAATTCACCTTTACTTAGCCAGCGACATCATGTCACAGGTAAACACATGCCTTTTCTGGATACACATGCCTAAAACAGGAAAAATGCCCAAAACTGTAATTATCAAAACAAGTATTAGTATTTTTGGGAAAGAAAGTTTTTGGCTTTCTACTACTCCATCTACTACTCCATACAAAAAACAAGGATGAGGGAATCTTCCAAGGAAAGGAAGGAAGTAAT